CCTCTCTGCTACGGCTGTAACAGCCCCGCGCTCCCACCAGCTCTCCAGAGCCACACGGTTCACGGGAGCAGAAATGACTTCCAGGTTTGGCTCAACGCTATTGAGCGAGCCGAGAAGTGCAGATGTAGTGCTCTTAAAGGAAAACGCTCCTGACACAGCACTCACCCTCGCAAATAAATGGCTGGTTACACAGCAGTGAGGGTCATTTGTTTGCTTTTCCTTTTTCAAGAAAAAAAAGGCATATGTCTAAAGATATTTTAAAACCATTTGTGCGAGAATCGGTACAAGTGTGAAAATACGGCTAGGCATGAGACAATAAATACTCCAGAAATCCAACCTGCCATCCCACCTCGACTGAACTTCTGACGCTTTCAGAATAGAACTATTGCATCAATTCTATAAAAGGCGTTTTTAAAGCTAAGCCTGCTTTCCCAAATTCTGTGGTTGCCAAGGTCAGGGGTTTTGTTGCTGCCGCCGCATTTAAAGCAAGCCTCTCCCAAACTGTTATCACTCCTGTTCTCTTAGCTGGCAAGCAAAGACTTCACAAGGGTCTGCATGAGGGTGGTGGGAGGGATGATCCAGGTTCCTGCTACTCGAAAGGAACACCAAATAAAACCATAAAGCCTGGAATATGCACAGAGCCTCAGTCACTGTGGGCCAACAACTTAACACAATCAGGAGACTAAAGCTCCAGACGTTGATTTTACTTGTAAATTTTTCTGGAAGCAAATTTTCAGTGGGAGATAACCTAAACTCAACCTTTAGCATGCTGAATATTCTTTCCTCTCCCTGAAGGCATTCAGTGGCCCATCAGAATAAAGCAAAGCTTAGTTTTCCTACAGCTTCTTGGGCTTCTGTGAACAAACGCCAGGGCCCAAGTGACTGCCACCTCCTTCACAAAGCCATGTCATTAGGCTCCAGAAGGCCCACGCCTGGGTCTGCAGGGACCTGCAGGCCATGCAAGTGCTCCATGGAGACAGCTCACAAAGAGAGCACCAAAAATCAGCTTTTCTGATCGGTACTGCACAGCCAGGTCAGCCAGAAGTGCTTGGCCCCAGGCTGTTACCTCCAAATTTTGTTCCATTTTTACAGTTTACAGCAGCAATCACATTCATTCTCTGCACTACAGCATCCTAGAAATTCATGTGTGGACCCTCTTAAGAGTTTAAAAAAAATAAAAATCTACCCATTTAAGTTGACTTTACACCCTGTATTGGTACATAAAGGCTCGTGTTCTGATCACCTCAAACACACGTAGCTGTAGGAACAAGGAGCTATGCTATTTATCCAGGAGACATCATTTTCACACCTCATGAAGCTTGGCACAGAGCAACAATTCAATTTTCTACAGAAAAAACATCAGGTACAGCTCCATAGCTCTACAGTTTTGCCATTTCTGAACCTACGCAAGGCCCATCAGGTTTGTATTAAGATACTGTACTTGCCAAATGAGGAGGAGAAGGGTAACATTTTACTAAAGGCTATCCTGCTACAGATGCAGTCAAGTCTAAATACCAAGCAATTTAAACAAACCAAGCCATTTGCACACAGAAGCAATTCAAGAAGGTGTGGGCAGAGATGGAGGTGAACACCTCAGCATGGCGAAACCCTGACGTACACTGAAATAAGGTAAACTCAACAACTGTCTCACTAACCTAACTGTGGCAGCCACGCTGCCCATCCCACAGGGCAGAGCCACACACCTCTAAAGATAAGACAAAACCAGATTGTCAGCATGGAACTCGTTAAACATTACAACCAAATACTCACAATTCCAGTTTTAAGGGAAATAATCTCAACCAAAGCCAAGCGTTTGTCTCAAGTACGAGTGGACAGAGATCTGCAAAGGCTCCCCACACAGGCCCAGCATTTATCCAAACTCAGGGCAGTGTCCCAAGCCGTGGCAGAAGGGGTGGTGCAGTCACACCTTTGCTCTCGGCCCTGTCTCCCCACTCTGCATCTTGCCCTAAATCCAGCTACGGGATGGGGGTACATCAACTTACCCAGCTGAATACAGGGGTTTGTGTTTTGTTTAATTTTCTCCTAACTGCACGACTGCTGGCACAAAAGGGGCAGTAGTGGCAGAATTAAAGCAATAGCTTAGTCTTGATAAGCTGATCATGAAACCATATCCTAAGAGATGAGATGCAACAGGAAGTCCACCCCATCCCAGTGTAACAAATTCAAATGAGATTCTTATCAGGGAATCAACTGAACTTAAAACTGTTCCCTATTTTTGCTAAATCACCTTTTCAAGTTTCCAGTTCTTCAACTGAGCAAGACAGCTCAGCTTTCAAGCTACAGTTGAGAGTACCAGCTTGGCAATAACCAATTCAGTGGACACCGAGGTCAGTTTGCCAGAATCACCTGTTAAAATGATTAGCTTTGGCACCTGCACGACCTATGAGGTAAACGCTACCACTGCTCATCTGCTGCTCAGTACTCGTCAGGCACCTTGCTGGTACGACACAGCCTAGGATCACTGCAATTCGGCGGTTTAAGGACAGATGAAACGTCTCTCCCCAGTTCAGATTTCTGCTGGGAGATTAAAACACGCGATGGCCACGCACCGAGGCCTCTGTGGTGCTGGGTCCTGGCTGGGTAAGAGCAAGCCAGCAAAAAGGCCCTGGCTTCACCACTGCCCCACCACACATACTGAGGACTCTTGACACAACGGATTTACAAAGCCTTGCAGATCTAGCATCCTGCTTCACATAAGTGCATTTAGTGAATCCAACATCGATTTTTTTAAAAAGCCCCACACTTCAGAAGCCTCTGTCTTGAACATATTTCAATGCTGAATTAGTGAGAATTATTTGAGCTGTCTGTAAAGCAGCACAGGTATTCTCCCAGAACGGTCAGTGACACATTTAATCTGACGGTAACAGAACTCACAGAAACTGAAGCCAGTGAAGCTGTCAACTGTAGAAGGAAAACAAAGTTGCATGGCATATGAAGCAAAGTAGCTTTACAAATGTCATTTCCTTTTAAAAACAAGCACATTGGGACCATCCTAGTGGAACATGTATTTAAAATCACATCTCTTAACATCACACAGTTTTCATTTTTTGTCACACAGGAATCTTTTTCCAAGAGGGAAATAAATAGCACACAATACTTCAAAAAACTGCTGCCTTGCCCCTGAGGTGCTAATGTTTTTAGCATTTAAAAAAAAACTTTCTGGTGCAAGAAGGAGATGCACAAAGGTGCAAAAGTGCCTTTTTCTTTTCAGAGCAGTGGAAAGCACAGCTTGCTTCTTTTCTAGGATGCTTCACATACTTAATTCGTATATTCCGTAATCAAAATCTGTATCTAAAACGGCAGTGTTTATGCATACATCATAGATTCGGTGCTCTGACCTCATCAAAGCGCTGAGCGCAGGCGGGAGAGAGAAAGGCCTGAAACGGGCTTTCTTCCCCTACCCTCAGGCCTGCTTACAACACCTGCAGCAGTAGCAGAATTATTTTCTTCCTAACGTTTAGGAGACCTCATCAGAAGACGCTTCAAATACATCATTTGTCACTGAGACAGGTTAAGTGACGATGGTTTGAAGTATGGCTTTTCACACCACAGTTTTGCTTCCGATTTTTTAAGTTTAAAACTCAAAGGTTCCACAGTCCAGGTCAAGGTTTTGCGGTTTCCAAAACTAAACTTTAGTCTCTACGAAAAAGGACAGAACTTTATCTGCCTAGTCCTAAAGCCAGTTTAGCTTTTTGCACTAACACGCCATGTATTATTAAATACGCTTGTTAATTAGGTGCCTGTGAAGCTATAACTTAACATTATCATAGTTGTGCACTCTACAACAAAATTAGACATTTTAAGCATTTATTCATAGGTAGGTAAGGAACTGGTTCTTTAAGCAAAAATTTCTATAAATTTATAAATACAAATAGTCCTTATGTTGTCTTCATTCATGCTTGAACAGATTACAAACTGAGTACAATGAAGTTACGTTTACGCACCCCACAGAGACAAGAGGGATAAAAGAAAAGTTTGCTGGTATATACTATACTTAGTTCCAAGACACTATAAGTTACTTTTTTACTGTTCAGTGTTCCCTAACTCTGCATTAGTTTTAAGGCTATATATACAAATATGTATATTTCAAAGTTAGGGAAAAACAAATATAGCAAAATGCATTGTACTACATTTTCCTATAAAAAAGTAATTATACACCAAGGTTTGATTCTGTTTAACTGCAGTAAATGTTACAATCTACTTGTTTTACTGATTTTCCCTTTGGGGAATCTGCCCACTAAATGAGTAAACTACATATTAAATACAATATTCTCAACCAAAAAGACAATACAAGGTGCACAAAACAGCAGTTTTGCAAACACGACTGACTTGAAAACTTAATTTTTGTATGCTCAATGGGAGAAAGCTAAGCTTAAATCAAATTAGTTTATTATCTTATAAAATTTTAAATTAGAATTTTAAACAACGAACAGTTAAATATCGTCAACATGCTATATCTCAAATCACATGTACTGTTTAACCACTAGTCTCTCATTCTAAGTAAGTGGGTCAATTAAAAACACACACCATAAAATGTTAAAGATTGTCAGGCTTTGACAAACGTATTTTTATCAAACAGTAGGCAAATTTAAACCAATGCACATCTTCAGTGGGGAGAGAAAAGAAAAACAAAACAAAACACAAAAAGCCTGGAAAAGCCCACACTTGTAAAAAATAGGGTAACAGATTAATCCCACATCATCCTCTAGCATATGGCTATATCTTGGGCAATAATCAAAATCCTTCCCATTGTAAAAATGGGCTACCAATTAATAAAAATATTCTTCCACAAGTAAAATATCATCTACAATGGCACTGACATTTTAAAAGGCAGGAAAAAAGGAATTACACATTTATGGATAAATTTCTTGTTTGTTAAATCAAGCTTTATTGATAAAATGGAATTCAAAGTATTTTACTTGGAACAGCAGCAGACCCAGCCAATCAGGACTGTAAAAATGCTGCAGACTCCTACTGTGTGTAGAAAGCTGCCTGTCCGTGCTCAGTGATTAGTAGCTTCAGGTAAGGGTTAATGACGAGAGGTGCAAAGAATCAAGGCGTTCTACTCCCAAGGTTCATAGGAGTATGAACACGATGCTATTAACAGGCCACGATTTAACTCCCACCGAAGTCAAAATCAGAACTCCCTTTCACTCAACATGAGAGCAGGAGCACGTCTAGGAAAGCGCGATGCGTCTGCTGAAGAACGTGCACTACTCTCGGTTCCTTTTCCATCTTTTTGCCAAGCAAATTCACACACTGCAATTTCTGGTGTGCTGCCCGTAAGTTCAGCTTTCATCTAAAACCATAAGTTATCTTTACAGTTTTGTGCACCTCTTGAGCACCTAGCTGGCTAGGCTGCTGCTCCTTGCAATCCAAAACCACAACATGGATTTAAAGGGATATATATTGTTGCATCACACAAGCCAAACATTTCTTCTAACCTTTATAGTGATTTAAAGCAGTTCATAATTAAATATGAGCATTTTGTACAAAGACAATTGCACTTTACAAAAACAAAATCATACAACATAAATTGCTGGAGTCTGATTTACAACATGAATTACGGTTTGAAATCATGTTTACAGAAGTCTGTTTTACAAAAGAGATCAGTTCCTGGGCTAGATGTCGTACTGCTGTAGTCACTCTCACCAACACATCATATTCCCTTCTTTAATTAAGGTTGAGGATGGATGTTAAGAAGGGTCACTGAGGTTGGGCTGCACTTGCGTTTGAAGGATGAAAGGTGAACTCCACAGCTAGACGAGCAGTTTTACCACATATCATCAGTTGAGGCAGAATCCTTAAAGAAAAAAGAAGAACCCTTTAAAGTCTGGAGTGCCCATAGTGACAGCACGTTCTGGATAATCCAGACTAAAAAGGGTAAAGGCTGAAATCATTTTAGGAGTCTGTTTTCACTCCCCTTTCACAAACAACATTTAAGAAGTATCTAAACCCCACACATGCTTAATTAATGAAGCATTACCACCAAGACATTCCAAAATCTGACCAAGTTTCTTATAATAGCCTCTATCAATCCTCAAAATAATACCCTAGGAACATTATTCAGCAGCATTCCTGGAGTAGTGAGAAGTAACACCAAACAGATATACTTACTACACAGGTGCCTTAAAAGAGCAGGATGTGCCTCATGCCATGTGCTATTACCAATGTCATTATCATTACCATCTTTTGTGTGTTCAGCCCTCCCTCGCTGCGCAGGAAGATAAAGCCATCAACTGACACCGTTATAATTCAGATCAATTTTAACTCGTATAATTTAAGGTTGGAGAAGTACACTTTGGGCAACTGCAGGAAACTCTAATTTTGGATGTTAATAAAACCGCAAGGAAAAAAAACATGTCTAAGAAAAATACTGGAAGCAGAGACATGCTGTGCTCTAAATCATAACCCTATGGCCACACTACGTGGCATTATAGCCATGCATCCAATGCCTGAGCATCCCTAAAATTTGGTGCGTTTAGGCCCACAGGCAACAGTGGATTTTGTCCAACTACCACAGCCCTGAAAAGTGTTTAACCAATTCCTTCCATCAGTTAAAAAAAATCCTAGCACAAACCAAATATTTAATTCTAGTATGTGTTTTTTAACCCATTTTCCTTTGTGTCACGTGTGTTTCCTTCCCCTTTGCTCAGGCTTTGCACAGGCATCAGAGCAAACCGCCTCTGCACAGCAGTACTTGGTTGTTTCAGCAGTAACTGCTACCTGGCCCCAGGTAACCAAGGGCCACGATGGGCTGTAACAGCAGCGCACGCCGGCGCTTCCACAGCTACACTTCCCTGTCATTACCAGGACTACAGGAGGTAGGAATATTACTGATTCCTTCGAGAGAAAAGAAGCTAATTAAGTCTCTAGCAATGCCACATATGACAACTTCTTAGCGCTAAAGTTCTGCGCCCTTCATTCAAACTTGCACATAGAATTCATTACGAATCACAGAGAAGAATAGTTGGCATGGAGGTGTAGTAAAAAAAACCCAAAGTCACTAAAATTACCCTTTGCAGAAGTACCACCTCCAGTTTTTCCTTCAAGACCAGAAGTAGCAAAGGAGAGCAATTCTGAGACACTGAAATGGTTGGCTGTTTCACGTACAAGGATGAAGAATCAAAGCAGTAGTGAGTAAAAAGGCAGGAGCTGCGTGCCAACTACTCAGTATGCAAATCTCTGTATCCAAGTTGCCAGCAGCATCACAAAAAGATGTTTGTGTGCTGTAAATCTGTAGAATGGTGACATACCATAGAATGTATTTTGAAGGCAAAGCATCCTCTTTCAGCCACCATTTAGGAATGCTTATGCTAAAGATATAACGAGACCTGCCAAATAAACTAGCACCCAGTTGTAAAACCAACGCACAGCTCTTTATGTCTGGATGCATTTTGGTTAAGTCACACATAAAGATGTAATTTTTGCCGATAGGTGAAGAATCAATTCAACTATGTTATGGAATACAGCACCTTTGGTGACAGAATGTTGTGTCCAGTGATCTAACTGCAACTGGGGTCACTGCACTTTAGAGCTTTGGGGTTTTTTCCCCCCTGACAATGGATTCATGCCACTCTGATAGCTGACATGTAAGAAACTAAACTGTATGCGTGGTGTAAGATGCTCTACGCTTAAGAATAAAAGTGCTTATGCAGTCCACTTGGAAAATTAATACATCCTTAAAGCTGACAGTTATGAATCTGTTTAGTCTACAACTACAGCCTTCTTCTTCACGATATTTGGGGAAAACTGTCTCACACAAGAGGGGAAAAAAAAATACACGTCAGGAAAGCATTTCGAAACCCAGGCAGGATTCAACTAATGAAATTCCAGAGGACAAACATCAACCATACTGGAGTTTTGAGACTAAGATCAGCAGAAGGCAGCAGAAAACAATGACAAAACATGGTCCAAAGAGCATAACAACGCTACTCCTTCCTTGCAGGAAGGGGTCTTTTAACAAGAACCAGCAATACGCTTCTTGGCATAACAGCTAAAAGAACTGGGGTGTGGGAAAGAGAATACAAGAGAAAATGTACTTACAGTATCATCATTCCTGTAGGGGTTCAGTCTGTTATAAACGGCTTCAATCACACTCCGTCTAGAGCAAAAAAAACCCGTAAGACTTTAAGGTTGTGTCTTTTTTTAAGTCAAATACCATAAGTACAATTTTAATTTAAAAAGCAAACTTTAAAAGGTTTTTAATTCACCAAACCAAGTTTACTGCAACTTAGCACTAAGTGTCATTAACCACTGAACAGAGCTACTGCATCCTTTAAAACCTTTAGGTTCAAGAAAAACAAGGTTCAGTATCGCGCAGAATTCAGCAGAAGAGCACAGGCTGACGCTGAGGTGAGGCTGCTCGTTGCTGGGTCTCTTGACTCTGAAAAAGGGCAACACAAAACTTGATGGACATTGAATGCCCTGGTCATTTGTGTGTCTGAGGAACACTGCAGGAGGACTTCAAGGATTATGGCACTTCCATAAGGGAACAGTGGTTTTTTATTTTCAGGACGGACAAAAATTGCATTCTGAAGTACATTTTTTGGTGTTGCATTCTGAAATGTACTTTCCATGTGCAAACCTGGAAAAATTATTTCTGAAGCAATACTCTCTTACAATAACATGTCCAATGCTGTCCTGCAACTTTTCTCAACAAAAACCAAACTGCAAGCAGCAGTGCCACATATCACATCTTCAGACAGAGAAGAATTTCATCTGGTAAAAAGATAAAAAAAAATTTCAAGCATCTTGACGGTTTCTTCTTTTAAAAAAATATATGGTTAGCATATTTAAGATAGCTTGTAATTAACTTTCGGGTCTGGGATTCTCAGTTTTCTAATGTTAATAGAAATACTGATAGGAAATATACTGCTGAAATACTAATAGAAAAATGGCAAAGAAGATGCAAATGACTAACATGATTTATTATTTTTTTCTCAGGAGGTGAAAAGGTTTTCTTGAAAACTGGTACTCAAAAAAATAAGCGAGGCTGAAGGAAGAGGAAGCCTTTGCCTTAGCCAGCATATAAGGAAAAAACTGTGGAGGAGGAGCAGGAAGGAACGAGGGGAGTAAAGGACAGGAATTACAGATCAGACTTTAAAAGCAACTTTCTTCCAGGCGCCCTTTCTGCAGAACCAAGAATGACGAAGCAGCGGAATACAACTGCGACACAAAAACTTCAAAGAACAACCTTCCAACCGCTCACGAATGCATGCAGAGCAACCACAAAGGAGTGCATCAGATGAGGAAAAGCAGATGATAGGCTTTATAATCATCTCTTAACATCGAAAAGTCAGGAACTACCATGCAGCAATGTAAACATCATCGTGAATCTAGTGAATGATTATAGGGCATGGAAGAAGAGGCTGAATTTAAAGCAATAAAACAAGCAATTACACACAAAGTACTTTGCACATATGAACTGGAAAGTTTCCCTTATCTTTCAAGAAATGGGTATCTTTGATTCTAAATAAAGGCAGGTTTCTTGGAAAGAACTATTTTCCTTCCAAATTGGCAGTAGTGCTCTGAGTTACGCTAACATCCAGTTAAAACCATACTTCTATCGATCCCTATTCAAACGAGCATCATAAAACACAAAATCCCATGGAAGTCACTCACTTCAGCACTTCCTCACAACCATGATGCTGCTGCTAGCCAAAGGCGATAGAGAAAAATCCATGTGTAACTCCTATTTCATCAGTAACTGACTCATGGATACTTTAAGATCACAGCAACATATCCTAAATAGATGCTGCTATGATACATAAAATAGCCATCTCTTCTTTTCCTAGCCAAACAGTTCATATAAGAACAATTTTGTCTCGTAGAAATAATCAGTTTTTGTAGAAGTCACTTCAGTTATTTACTCAATTACATCCCTAGAGTCTTCATGTTCTGGTGTAGGAATACAAAATACAATCTGAAGGGTCAAAAATAGTCTGCACCACACGTGTCCAATCCATTTTAACACAGTACAGGTTCATGAACAATCTTTTGAACCAAAAACCACTTGGTTTGTTGTGCAAAAGAGCTAAGCACATTGCTCCCTTAAAGACTAAACGTCAGTTTGAGAAGCCACAGAGCACCCACACCGAACTCTGTGATGGCAAAGCCAGCCTATAGAAAGTCATCAATTTAACTTCCCACTTCCCTGTTTTTGGTAGATTTCTATCCAGTTTCCAGATTTGTCGCAAGCAGAGATACAAAAGCAAACTTTTAAGCAATTACAACATTGCTTTAGCTACAGACAAGAAAAGAAAGCTGCCAAGCAAAACATCATATGCGTATCACTCCGTGTGGAAATGTACAGCGACTTATCCAGGCAACCACCGAAGTCAGTGCATTGTTTTCACATCTTTGAATGTAACATCCCACCCAGAAAACCCAGTTAATTACAAAACACAGACACACTCAGGCCACCCTTAAAAAACCCCTCAGTCCTTCCCAAAACCACAGTTTGACATTTAATTTTAGTAGTGATTCATAGTTAACTGTGTTCTTATGCTTGTCCTTTTCATCCAGAACAACTAACGAAACGGGAGAACAGATCATCGCCTTTTGTCCTGTACCCTTCTTCCCTCCCCCCTGCTTTTAAGAGTGGCCTTACAGTTAAGTTTCCAATTAAATCAAAAACCACATTTACACCGACGTGAACTCACTTGCTTGCCAATTCACCCCCCGGCGGGAGGTTTGGGATGCTCTCAGTTGCTAATGTACGCATCACGTGGACTAAGTCTGGGACTCCTTCACCCTGCTTCTTTATGATCTCTGGGAATCAGAAGTACTTTTTTTGTAAGTGCAGTCCAAATTTAACTTAAAAAGATTGAAACACTCAGTTTTATAAAAAGGCAGCTTAACTTCTGTTAATATATATTTAAAAAAAGGTGACAGATGACAGGCTATATTCAACATGGTAATTGTTAACTTTGGTTCCGTAAGCAAAAGAACCTGTAACAGACTTGACAGAAAGATACACTGCTGTTAACATGCACACTGGTTTAGAAATACACAGCTACCTGATAAAAGTGGGAAAAAATAACTTAATGGCTTTCCTGCTATACATTAAATACAAAAGATGTAATATCTTCCCAGCAAAATGCCCTGGGCACGAGGCAGATATTAACATCAGCTTTATCACTGCAACACAGGATCACAGACAAAGCACAGTATTTTCAAGAAGCAATAGTTCAGACACGGTAAAAAGAACTCAACTCCCATGGCCGTCTGTATCTCAGCCAGTACTTGTACCTCACTGCATTACAGCAACATGCACATTTTAAGAACTATTATGTACAAATTAAAAGCCAGGAATGTCAGATCTAAGACACAGCTCCATTCTCAACTCACTCAGGGGATATGTGAATGCTGGGCAGGTATTTAAAGCTGATCCACTCCAGTTTCTGGGTGAAGAGAATCTGTACTGTAGCCACAGTCAGTTTGCCAAGAAACTAATTCTTTAGCTTTATTCTTAGGCCTGTTTTGTTTTTTTCTTTTTAAAATTTCCCCAAGTTGTAAGCACACAATTTTATTTGAACTCAAGAGATTTCAGACCGCACCACCCCTGAAGTCGCTCTTTAAATAGGAATTCCATGAAGTTTAAAAAACAAACATTTTTTAAACGCATCTCACTGGTTTCTCTGCAAATATGAGCTCTTAGAAGTTTTGGTGCTGGTGCTCTTCAAGCGAATACTGCAGCACACATACACAGATGTGTACATATGTGCACATACAGATACGTGCACGTAGGTACACGCACAATATTCTTCACCTAATAAAGCACCTGCACAGCTTGAAGAGCAGTTGGAATTCATCAGTACCACTTCTGAAAAATACTCTAGCATTCAGTTTTTGCCGTAAATGACAATTCCCAAAGAGCATACCAAGTTTCCATTTCATAATTCAATTAGTGAGATAAGGCACATTCAAAGCTTTTAAAACCAACATCTATGCAGTCCTTTTTAGTTAAAAAATTTAAAGACAACAATTTTGAGTTGCTTTTTGTGCATGCCATAGTTTTTCAGGGCTGTGTGTGTTCACAAAAAGTATCAGCTCTATTTTGCACTCAGGCTGTGTAAATTATTTGCAAGGTACAGTGGAAACACTGTCTAGCCCTCAACCAGTGTCAAAACCCTGCACCACAAAGCCTTAAGCCATTTACTTCAGAACCTGCATTTTAAATGCGACACCACACACCACAGGCACCTCCAAAACATGCCATTTCCTGAAAATCTACAGCCAAAATTCATTTTACCATCTAGTATTCAGTAAATAAATGATCTAACACTCTTAAATCTGAATAAGAAGCGAAGATCTCAGATTTGGTTTGCCAAGTTCCTTTATTGTGCAATTTTGAACATCTAGTATATTCTACATTGTGCTAGTGCTAAGGTTCTGCTGTACAAAAATAAGGATTTTATGGTTCACCTATGCTACACAGTTTCACAACCTGTAACTGCAGTACATTTAACACACAGTCTCCACTAGATGAATACATTTGTATTTCGGTAAAACTAGAGATACAGACTGAATGAACACTGAAGACACAACGGATGGAGTCGGTCTGCTGGCCGTGTTTAATTTACTGGAACTACCTTCTTCCAGCACATCTTACAACCCTCCCCCCAGCCTTTAATTGACTTTTAAACCTTCTACACATTTTCATGGAATCAAGTGCTGGAAAATGTACTTACAACCCTAAAATAAAGGATTTGAAACATATCTGCTTTTTCATATTCTGAATGGGAATTCCGCACAGAGTTTAAGAAAAAGCCAGAGCTTTAATTTTGTGAAAATATGGGAAGGAGCACGGAACAGTTAACTTAAAATTATTTATCTCTATATAGGTATAAATAGTGCAAGGATTATCTATTATGGAATGTTTTTATGTAAAAAAACTGAGAACAGAAAAAAAGACACGTTTCTTTCTAGAGCCAACACATCAGTGACACGTATTAGTGCAAATGACAGCAACACATTTGGGAATGACTGATTACTTATTACTTCTACCACGGAGTTCACAGGATATTTGAGAAGTAACGCTTATTGCAAATATTGGCACAAAGATGCTTCTCCACACGTGCTGCTTCTTCCATTATTGTTTATTGGAGCTACCGATCTGGACCACAACCACATCAAAACCAGTAAAAGGGGAGTCCTAGGTGGCAAGTAGAAAACTTCCTATGTTTTTTTAAAATCTGAACCGCCTCTCCTTACTCAAGATGACCATGAGTGCTATGAGCTCTATTCAGTCTTAAAATTTGCACTGCTTCTTAATGGTATGAAGATACATTCTGGGCTGAGGGAATAGAAGTAAAACTGGAAAAAACGCACATTAGTAAGCATCAAATCTCATTACTTAGCTCTGAGGTGCATAGAAATACGTAATATGCATTTTCCCCACGTTTTCATTTAAATGAATCTTTAAATTGGTATTACAGGTCAGTAAGATCATTCTAAAAGCACTCTTTACATTTTCTGGTTCCTTCAGTTGAAGATTAGGTTTTTACAGTTAAGTACAACCATTCTTCAAGTACCGCAGGATAACAGCAAGATCATTCACTGCAGTGCTGGAGGTTTCAGATGCTGCAGAAGTCCTACCTTACTAGCACATCTGGCATTACCCTTTTACTGCAAACAATTCAACTGCACAGGAATTAAGTTAAATGTAACAAGGTTAACTTGACTTCTGTTCTTGCAGTTCTGCTTTAGTTCAGCCTCTCAGCTTCTCTAATGAGTACGAGCTAAAAGGCCAAATTCTGATACAAAACACTGCTGGGTTGAATAGTGTTTACTATGTATTTATTAATTTAAATAATATCTTTGTGCAACAACAGACAAAAGATTGAGGACAACTCTAAAAAAGAGGCAAAGACCCTCGAGGGGAAGTACAATGTATTTCCTCAAGCTGTTCAGACATCGTCCCATTAAATTAAAGTGCTTTGTGACTACATACAGAATCCTTCTGCCTCTATGCAAGTGTCACACTTTGCTCATTCCTGACATTTTGCATGTGTATAAACGCAAAATACTGGTGGCCAAATTCACTGTATGTACCAGAGTGACATGCAGTTCCAATGATCAGGTTCTTTGTTTACCAGATAAAGTGTCTGTACAAACACATCAGCTTTCCTCATCATAATATTCCTGGGGTACAATGAGACGAGCTCAAGATGCAGCCTTACCCTGAACTTATTTTCATATTTTAGGTCATGGGTTTGTCTGAACTCAGATGAAATATCTGAGATACTAAGGTAATACTTGCCCAAATCAGGGGAGCTAGCACGCTGTAAATTAACGTGTGAATTTCCAGCACACTTGTTCCTCACTAGTTCTGTGAGTGGGCACACACAGCAAGCTCTTCAAATGCCTGCTGCAAAACTGCTCACCGCTTTGAAATGGAGAAAGCCATCTGACACTTAACTCATGCAGCGTTACCATGCACTTGGATATTCCTGCTACTCTGTCAAAGGGATTCACACTATTGCTTACTGTGCACCGACTTCTCCTTTTAGGCAAGTGTTAGATTAAAACACACAAGTGTCTGTCTGGGCATTTGTTCAGGGGCAGAACAGATGCGGTTCGCCAAGACCTTGTGAAAGAGGTGGTACTTTCTGAAGGAGCACCTACACAGGCAGTAAGTACTTGAAAACTGCACATCAATTTGTCTGAACCCAGAATTCCCATGTAGGCAACTTCTCTGAAATATCTGAAGCTACACCGTGCTATCTTCATGCAAGTTAAGTAGGGAAAAAAGTGCACAATGTATTCCTCTTACTTACTAACCACTACCACTGTAGTTGTGGAGAACTGCATATTGTGCCCTGTGTGCTGCTAAGGATTCTTGGAGTACATACATGTAACCAGACTTGTGACAAACAGGTCTAGAGGAGTCCCTTCAAAAATAGACTTAACCTATGCAAATAATGCATACAGCGTGTCTGATGTTTCAGAAACAAACTCCAAGCTGCGGTCATTTTTAAATACCAAAAGGCACTAAAAATTCAGTTTAAAATGAGAAAACTTATAAACCAAATAGCATTTTAGTCAAGTGACCCAAAATGCCTAAGACTTGCAGTTTCAGTTTAAAGTTTAAGAAGTCCTGAAACACAAATTTAAGCAAAACTTTGAAGTTATTATCAGAGTAAGATGAGTTCCCAACATCTGTTCATCATGAATGCTTAAAGATTAGCTTTAACAAATTTTTGACCTACTTTCAAGTAAGCATGTAAGTTAGCAGGTGCCTTAAGATGACAGTAATCAAGCCATAGCCCTACCGTAACTGGATAATAAAAATACTGGATAATATAATATTATGGCTAATTTGTACATAACTATGTGGGAAAAATGGCACTCAAATTACCGTCTTTATAGACGCTTTGCAAGATATTCTGATTATTTCATTTAACTCCATGTAACAGGAACCAGGATTTACTGGTCAAAACCTAGTGCTGTCAACAGGCTCGTGGAGAACGCTGACACAAATGAATTCTTTCTCTGCGCTCCCGAGTAATTTTCAGGGCTACAGGCTGCTGCACTTTCATGGCAGAATCTTTTCAAGACACAGCAAGACTGTGAGTGCCTTTTTCAGAGATGTACACTAGATGGCCAGTGGCACCGAAGGTCTGTTAAAAAGCCTGACGTGTTAAGAGTTTAGTTGTTGGAAAGGGAAGGGGGCCAGGGATTCTGCTTAGAAACAAAGTTACTTATTTTTTTTTAAATGATCCACCTTCTACTCTGCTTTCCAGGTACTTGTCCAACTCTGCCTCTCTTTTCACCGCCTCTGGTGATACCTTTGGTGCATTCGGAAAACAGATCAATATCACACTCATGTTGTCTCGACTTCCCTGGTGGAAAAGAAAAAATTATTTGAGAATGTATACACACCATGCTAAATACACATCAAAGCATTCTACACACAGAATTTCACCAATCCCATGGCATTAGAACACCATTTCTACTACTACAGATTAGTAATACCATTAGGCTTCATTTCCCCCCATGTCCTCAGAGTATTCCAGAAGTCTGCTCATTCATTCAAGTCACTTGGTTCTTTCTTCTTTTATGGTCTGAAGACTACAGGGACCCAATTACAGACAGCTCATTGTCCTTTAAAAACTGACACTACTAATGAGTGACGTGCAGTTACCAAGTTGGGTTCCAGCTCGTTTTAAGCACTACCCAATCATTTTGGGAAAACAGCTGAGTATTGGATGAGTAAACAAAACCATTACTACTTAAAGGTGCTAAGGAGGGAGGTGCTGAATTCAGACAGCACTCCCACCTAAAAATCACATTAGGTTGTTTCCCCCCCAACCCTCTTCTTTTAAAGCAAGAGAAGTTAGAAGTGAGAGAATTTGTTAAAAGAACAGCTGAAAGGGGCCCAGGCCTGCACAAAAGCATCATTTGAAATGGAAACATTTAAAACTCCAACTAAACAGAATCCTCGTACTTGAATACATTAAAATACAAACACATTCTGCTTATGAAAAGTAACTGTTCAGTTTACTTTCAATAACCCTGTGCTCTGGCCTGTAAACATGCATCCATACACTTAACTTTTAACACCAATTAAATCCAGTGAAGGCAGCAAGATCAAGACCAAGCCAGTGTTCAAAACAAGAGTGTATGGGGAGGTGCTGACAGCTGGCAACTGCAAAGCTTACAGCCTCCACAAGCCACTGCTCCTGTCCTGGTTTTGTTTTCAGGATAACCAGAGAAAAAATGTAAACAAAAATACATGCGTTATCAATCTGCCGAAGTGCTGGAAAGCAGTTATTTTTTTCCAAAATGGAAACAATGACCTTGTTAGCCAAGTGGCAAGAGCAGAGATGTTGTCTTGTCTCTTTAGTAACAAAAATGTTGGCTTTTTTACATTATGGCTTGTAGCTTGCCCTTGGAAAATTAAGCGTCTAGCTATGAAACTCAGCGCTTCAAAACTCTTCTGTAACGGCACCATCCTGCAACTTATTACTACAAAGTAGAAGTTACTGTAGACAAAATTTGACACAGATTTGTTAAACAAAACAGTCTCATCTTCTTCTACTTGAGCTAGTTTCATAGCTGTATCACACAACACTAAATAAGAAATACAGCAATTAAACCAGAACTTAAGAAGTCAGATCTTTATATAGCCAAAAAGAAATTTTAAACTGCAAAATATGAAGTCAAAGTTTAATCACTCTGCATTTATCTTGGCGTAACTATGACAGTAAAGTTACTACTATCTGCCCAACAGAAGAGGGGAAGATTTGGAAGGGAAAGAATATTCTCTAGCCTGATTAAGTCTTAAGAGTTAAGATGCTGTAAAGTACGTTGTGAAACAGGAAAGAGGAGTTATTGGCTTGCCCGTAAATTCCCATCAGCTCCTCATCTCCCAGCGATCACAACAGATGTGCACGTGATTTTAAACTCCTGATTAACCAAAACCACCCAGAAAGACATACTGTTTCTGCTGTGTGTTTGTTCCCCCTCTCATCATTTTTGTGGGAATCAAGGCAATTACTGCCCAAGTCACGTTAACATAAACCACTGGATACCTATAGACTGGAATCAAGACTTATCCTTAACTTGCTCATAAACTCGTAACAGTGAAAACAGTAAACTTCTTCTCCCAAGTCTGGCTACCTTGTACAAGCAGGTGTCAACTATCTCATTGCAAACTTTCTCAAGGTCATCAGTGACTTCAAGTCTGGATCTTACAAAGTCACACAGCTCTTCATTGCCCATAACATCCCAGATCCCGTCGCAAGCCAGAATGATGAACTGATCATCATCTTCTGATCTCTCGATTTCATAAACTTCAGGCTCGGGTGACACTAGCTGTTCTGTAGGACCCTTCCCATGGACACATTTGTAATCAAAGTCCCCAAGTGCCCTTGAAACTGCAAGAGAGCCGTTCACACGCTGAATCATTACAGAGCCACCTGCGTTCTGTATACGCTCTTTCTCCAGCGGATTACTTGGTTTGTGATCCTGCGTGAAGAAGTGAACCTTTCTGTTTCTACAAAGCAAACCTCTGGAGTCTCCACAGTTGATGAAGTACGTGTGCTGGGGAGAAATCATGACACCCACAGCTGTTGACCCACTTCTGTCTGCGCCATGCTTCTTCTCGGAGATGACTCTCATGTGTTCATCAATTTGCAGAAAACCTGTTCTGATGCCGCTCTTTACACTTTCCACAGATGGTGGCCCATCTGGCCCTTTAAAATCCTGGTTGCTCGTGATGTGATCTAATAAATGCTCACAGCAGTACTTGGCAACCTGTGATCCAGCGTGCCCGTCATATACAGCAAAAAACGACCATCCATCAAGTCCATTCGGCAAACCAATCACAGCCGTATGTGCATCCTCCATTTCAACTCGCCAGCCTTGCATGCTACTCAGACCATAACGAAGCCCATTCCCTTGCCCCTGGGCATTATGCTTCTCCATCTTTGGCTTGTCTAAAAATGCTCCCATGATGACCTTCCTTCAGTTCTAAAAAGAAAAAAAAAAGGATTATGAAGACATTTCTTAAACATCTTGTTTAAACATCCTATTGGAATCTATAAAATAATAGACAAAAATGTTAAGATGACAATACAAACAGATATAAAGCTGACTTTTCCATGTGGCAAGTCAAATTTGCATTGCTTTCACCTAATTTAAACAAGGGCACTGCTAGTAGCTGAACTGCACTTTTCATATTTTTGTAAGTATTTTCAGCTGCTTTACTTGAAGAATTTATATTCCACTACTATTCATGGTTCTGACAAAAGCCTCTAAAATAAGTGAGTATGAAATTAGCTCGGAAGAGGACTCCTTAATTGGCACACATCTGAACAGCTTTGTTCCCCGTGATTAGTAAGCCAATGAAAGAGTTCAGTGTTCCCAGCACAGCGGCATTTCCTTCGTCCCTACCTGCTGGCCACAAAGTCCTGCTCACGCTCTGCCCGAAAGCAAACTGATTGGGTTTTTTTCTAGGCGAGGAAGTTCAGGGTTTTCTGCTTTGTTTTTCAAACAGACAGTCATCTGAATGATCAAGATGATGCCAGAGCCTGCATACAGGAAGAGGCAACACTGGGTAAGCAGGAGCAGGACTCGAAGGAGCAGAGCAGCTGTCCCTTTAGGCAGCAGCGAGCCATTAGTTTGTCTCAGCCATCTTGTGAAAGCTCATCCTTAGATTTTCAGATGAATTACGCAGCAAGCTCCTCAGATGTCTGTGCTGGAGATTTACTTAAAACCTTAATGTATTCATGCTTCACTGAAAGACAACTGCCCCTGACAAGTCTAAGGAAATCTGTTTGGAAATAAAATTACAAGTATTGTAAATTCATGCTTTCTTATTCAAGCCAGACGAATATACTGCACACCCTGTCCTCCTCCACCTCCCATCATTGGGATGTGATGCAGCAAATATTCACGCTTAATAAGAATTATATTTGCAGGCAGTGTAAACTGACTGGTTTATCTTCATGGCTTTCACACCCTAACTATCCAACCCACCCTTCTAATCCACATCAGTTTATTTGAGCATTCATTACTAAAACCTCGCACAAAATGTGTCACACATTTTACATACTCGCAAATTCTGCCCTGGGAAACATCAAAGAATGTGCAACTCACGGTTACACAATACAAGGTAATGGAACAAGACTATGAGCTCTTCTATGTGAAGACAGTGGACAAAAATTAACCAAGAGAAGAGTTCCTCAAACAGATTTCACCTGAGACCCCGACTAAGCAGCTGCAGTAGCAGCAAAGTTAGTACAGTATGGGTTTTAGAAGTTTTAACTTCTACGTGGAATACATTTGATTGGTGTTCTAAGCGATGAGATCACTTTTTGCTAACACGCTTTTACTGCAATACAGCTGCAGCTGTGACACCATACATCCAACAACGCTTTTCACACTGCCTCTTCCAGTCACTACCAACCTTTCCACAACATCTGTATGTGTCAGAACAAACAGCCGAGAAATGTTTATAACTGATTTCACCACAGCAGCGATTCAAGTGTGAGGCACGGGGACTGGCTATACACCTTTTGGCTCACAGGCTTTGCTAACAAACCCCAAAGCCACACATACTTCAGCTGCATGGAGAGAGATGTCAGCAGCAGGACACCTCTGCTTCCTCCCACCCCAAGCCCTGCTCTTCTGCCTCTTCTCAAGTGAACACAAAATACTGATGCCCACACAAACTGTATCCAGCCAACAAAACAGAGCGTGCACTGCTCTTGTATCCTAAGCACATGCATGAGGTTCACATTACTGCAGTTGCTAGGAAAAAAATACGACTTAAGACTTTTTTTATCTTCGCATGCAACTCCAGTGAAGTCGGAGTGATCAAAATAATTACAGAACGCTGCCATAAATCAAATGAGGAATTATTCTGCAGACTTTTTATTCATTCCACGATAGCAGCAGAGTTGAAACTAACGCCTAACACTTTTTTATTGTTGAAGAGATAATAAAATAGAATGCAGACATGCAATTATTTCACCTTAATAGAGAGCTCACAAAGCAGGAACTGCACTGGCAAATACCACACTTTTGTGAAATATTTTACACTGTTACTGTGCTTAAAACAGAAAAGCATAAAGAATAGGACACAGTTAAACTGACCACAAGCACTGTCAAATTTAGACTAAAAAAGGCAGTTTTCCTCCTAGTCTCTCACGTTACTAGGTCCACAGTATTCAGAGTTGTGTGTTGTAAGCTGTTCTTCTCTCAGCAGCCTGTCATGTAAACCATGAATAAAAATACACACAGACAGGTCACATGCAGTTCTGGCAACTCACACAGAACAGCTGGCACACTTCAAAAATGAAGAAATCCACTCCCCATTTAAAAATCAAACTGCCTGATCCCTCTCCAGAAGGTAAACTGAGCGCCGCTGCTATTCTGAATTAAGCCTCATAGGTGGGATGTTGACACATGGTTCTTGAAAGGTGTGAGCTACCCACCGTAGATGCGAATACAACCAGACAGAAGGACAGCCACAACGTGGCCACCTAACTTCTACTTGGGAAATCGTTCACAGCCCATAGCATAAAGCAGTCACCTTCTGAAAGATGCAATGACTGCAGTCGCCTTCCTTGCGCCACTCCAGCTACTCGTACTTCCACCACACCACCAGTCCAAACCTGCAAGTGAGTAGGCCCGGTTTTCAAAACCCTCTTTGTATCTGAAGGGAAAGCATAGCTTACTTGTGAATAGGATCAATAATCCAAGCCTTTAGCTTTTCCAAAATTTCAATTCTTGTTCAGAAAAAAAATGAGTTTAATATGACCAATTGGTGAATTTTTATAAATCTGAGCCTACTTCTTCCCCCACACTCTTATCTGTGGCTAAAACCTAAAGAACTTAAAGTCTTAGTTATAAAACAAAATAATCTTATTTCTAAAAGAAAGGGGAGGGGACCACACACACAAACAGGCTGACATAAGAAAGCTGTGCCTCCTTCCTACTAGAAACATCTTTTAGACCTGTTTTTGAGTCTACACATATGGAAACATCTTCCACACATCGGTGTCTGCATAAATCACTAGCCTGTTTTTCACTCTTTCATGAGGCGGTTTGGGCACCGCACTGATTAAGCTGGAATGACACCTTGAGTCAGGCGTCTCTGTACACAGATCAGCCTAACCTATCGCAGTGCAAGGGCCCGAGTTACAGCACGACCTCCTTACGCAACAGCACTGAAGAGAGAAGTCGGCCCCAGAGCAGTCTGCACGCACGATGTGCAATAAAGCAACAGATACTGAGTGCGGTTTAACGTCAACGTCTCTTGTGTTTCTTCAGTCAATCTTCCTAAACAGGAGTCCTCATCTTATAACCCTTACTCTTCAAATAATTTTACTACCCTTCCCGCTGCCCTTCTCAACCCAGCCCCACATTTCTGCAGTCTCATACTGGGAGACAAAACCAACTCTACTCTGGAAGCCACAGCTTCCAGGAAGCTTGAATGATGCACAAACGCACTAAAGGAGACAGGCA